TTCTTCTTCTTCTTCTTCTTCTTCTACCTCCTCCTGTTCTTCTTCTTCTTCTTCTACCTCCCCCTGTGCATCTTCTTCGTCTTCTTCGGAATTTTCTTCTTCCGCATCTTCCACGTCATCCTCTTCAGCCTCTTCATTTTCTTCCTTACTATCCACTTCATCCACCTCTTCTTTAAGTTCAAAGTCAGCAACACTGCTGTCCAAACTTACCCTTCGTGGTTGGTCCTCGACTTCGTCCTCTTCCTTATCCTGGCTCACTTCATCTGTGACTTCAACTATTTGCTCTACTTCAACTTCAGCCATTTTTTCGTTGATATCGGTTTCAGGTAGCTTTGTTGTTTCTGTAATAATTGAACGCGTCTGAGGTTGCGTTTGAGGTTGTTCTTCTTCTTGATACTCGATTGCCTTACTCGCTCGATGTGGCCAAGTAAGTCTGTTTGTGCGAATGCCGTATGGAAATCGTTGGCGCACACTGAAACACAGATGAAATCGGAAAGTGTGAGTTACATAAATAGAAATAATATAGAGCAAAATCAGATTTAAGTATAACAATAGTGAATTTGTAGAAATCATAACAAAATACGAATTCTGGACTTTTTTTGCTGTAAGCTAAGTCCAAAGAAATGAGTTGGCGAAAAGCAAAACGTGCAATGAGCTAAGCTTATTGGGTGCCAAGGTTTTATACCGCATACAACATTTTATAATGTTTATACATATATGTAGATACTTTAGGAAAAGATTTTTGTTTTGACTTTCTAAAAGTTTTGAGATTTGATCCAACCGATATCTTATTTGATTTCAATGTTGATTGGTTGTCATTCGAAAAGTATCTATAATATAAGTAAATCTAATATTTTACTCCGTTTAATTAAACCTAGTCGGAACAACAGCTGGTAGTTGGAAAATACTAGTTCAGAAATACATAGAACATAGAAAGTTAATAATGTGTGAATTCCGATTTTGAAGCATCGAAAAAGTTCTCTATGTTTACAAAATTGCAGATTCGAACAATAATGTGACACTCACTATTGTAAATACTATGTCAAAATTTTCCAAATCTTAATTGGATGATAAAATGTGAAATTTAGAGTTATGTACTTATATGGATTTCGCAAAATTTTGTAGATTACTAGCGATTAGATTTGCTATTCAAGAGCTTCGAATGCATAAGTATATAGAACAAAGAATGTTTAGGGAAGTTTTTTTTAGAAAACTATATCTACCGTGAGTGTCTCAGACAGTCTCTTGATAAAAATAAATAGATCAGATACATATCGAAAATATTCAGGGCTTATAACAGCAAAAGTGATGATCACGTGCCCGATTGTGATCTTGATTAGTAAATTAGCTCAATATTGAAATGAGTTTTTTAAGTTTTCGATTTCATTCTCAACACACAAATGATTTGAATTAGCTATATTAAAATTTTTTTACTAAGATAAAATTAATATTATAAATATATAGAATATACAAATTTGGAACAGAATTAAAAAAAATTAATTTTTAATATAATTTTTTACCAATTAATTATTTTAAATTAATCAAAATTTTTAACAAGAATATATTTTCTTCAAATATCCTTTTTAACCAAATTTCTTCTTTAAGAACTTTTTCACACAATTTTTCCAAAGGCATGGTATACCGATTAAACAGAATTTTAAAATAAGGAACCATACGACTGTACGATGGCAAAACTTGTTTCGCGTATCTACTTTTGCTGATATGAAATTTTGCAAATAAGAAACAATGTATGTAACTTTTTAACTGGACGTCTGCGAGAGCATACATACATACTTACATATATAAATATGTATGTATATGTATATTTAGTATATGCACTTAAATAAGTATTTGTATGTATTTGTAAGTTCACACACATGCACTGTAAGCACATGGGCTTGGTCCCGGCTTCATATATACACATTTATACATATGTATACATATACATACATACTATATACAACAGGATGTACTAGGACACAATAACTCTTTTAGTTTTTAATTTGAAAGAACACAAAAATTAATCATTTTTAATTAAAAGATTTGTACTACATTTTTCGATATTTTACTTTAACATTTTAGATAAGATGCGCACAGGCACACTCACACACACACTATACAAGTATAACGATTCATTTTATTTTGTCACAATTTGCCATTTTTTTTTTCAAATTTCCAAAATGTGTGATTGTGTAGAAATTTAAACAATTAAAAAATTTGTTCACCTTGTTTGTTGTAGTCACACGTTTGTTGTGATTGCTTGCTTTTTGGCAATTATTTACGAGTGTATATGCTTGAAAGCTTGAGCGCCTAATTTTACTACACACTAATTAGTTTAAATTAGGAATTTCGCAGAACGGTAATTGTTTGAACCAAAAACAAGAAAGAATATCACTATATGTACATATATAAATGTGTGTTATATATATGTAATATTCTTGTCTGCAACTATACCGACTTCGCGATATTTATCGAAAAATATATACACAAATGTAATTTAGTATGAATAGCGGTAAAAACAAGACGATAGCACAGAAATGCGTCCGATTCCAGCGGGTTGTTGCTCTCGAATACGACTCGAACGAGTGAAGTTGGAGCAACTTAAACTATTGCTTTGTGGCGGGTTGGCCGTTACGACAGAGAGCTGCACCTCCGCGCAGCGAGCAAGCTGAATCAGACACAACAATAACAACAACAACAGCGATAAACACAGTGACAGCAACATTCACCATATCAGCAACAAAGCCGCACCAGCTCACATATAATATGTGTGTGTGTTGGTTAGGTGCGGGGTCGGCCAGTGAGTTGGAGTGGATTGGAGCGCTAGCAGAGAGCGCTGTAGAACGTCAGTGGAGTATCGCGATAACGAATGCCGGCACTCCGTGACGCACACGAGCGCATTTATGCACGGTTGTATGCAATTTGTACATTCACTCATACATACCATCCATACATATATGGTATGTGGGTATGTGTAGAGCAAGTGACTCAAAATGAACACTTGGTGTGGCGGCACTCAAACAAAGCTGTTGACAAATAAAAGCAAAAACACGGCGGAAGGCGAAAATCAACTGCAACAACTCGCGACAGATTGAATAGAAAGCAAAAAACTTTGCAACGCACAAAAAAGGCAGTAAAATTAACAACAAATCAGTAATACCAATAACAATAACAACAGTGTAAGAAGAACGGCATGCTGCACGTGTTGGTGGTCAAGTTTGAGCAAATGCACGAACTGATTTTTCTCGCCTAAGGGTTAACCAGCTGCTTGAAACTGGAATATGATTACGTATATACATATGTATATGCAGATTTACCTTTATTTGTTTAGAGTTTAAAATATAGTACAGTTTTATTAATTTTTATAAAAACATTAGTTCTTACATACGAACTGTTTAGTTAATTGCCTTTCTTCGACCATAATATGTTCAAGCAAGCTTTTACAAAAATTAATTATTCCTTTAAGAACAAACTTTTAAGCCATAAAAGCTTTTTCACAATTTCGTATGGAAAATATTGGAGATTCACATAGACTATAGAGGTTATGTTGCATGTGAAGGTTACGATAATTCTCATATTTAACAAATCGTAAGCTTTATCGAGAGAACGTTTTATTAAAACTTTCAAAAGAGTTCAAAATTTGTATTATACTATTATTATTGTAATTATATTATTATATTTATTTGTATTATTATTTTTTATTTTTATATGACATAACAGCGTATAAATTAATTTCGTTGCGAATATTTGAAAATTTCTGTTGTCAGGCGCGGTAACATGATGTCATTACTAATCACAACCTAAAGGTAAGTTCAAAAGGATAACATCAAAATTTACAATTCACCAGCTGACGCTAATATTGACGTATGTATGTATGTAAATGCATAAGTATACAATGACACTCCTGCATGTTAACATAGTCGCAGTCACTTTATAAGGCCACTGTTTGTAGATGCATATGTAAATTTGTGTTAGAGCGACGAGCCCTAACGGAAAACTGTGCCCAGTATTGAGTCATTTGACCATCAACTCTGACGCTTATAATTGGCTTACGTAATTGTTGTTTCCAACCCTTGGAAATTATAGAATTTTACCCATACCTTATATGGCAAATACATATGTATATTTCTGTTTTTAAATAGATATATACATATTTTAGAAAGACAAATTGTTTTGCCAGATATCGCTGGTTTAAAATATATTTAATACGAAAATAAAGTCCTACAGGGTTTTTACTCAGTTATAAACCAATTTCATACTTAAATATAATGCTTTTTTTGAGATTGGTAATATTTTTTTCCACTCTACAAGTTAGGACGAGTCGAAAATACTGCAAAATAAAATATTTCATTAATTTGTTGACTTATATATAAAACTAAGAACAAAAAACTATATCTTCGGCTGCACCAAAACCCATCCAGCAGTGCATTTCTAATAGCATAACTAAATCTGAAATCGTAACTTGCCAACGGTTTGTATCTAATCGTTTTGATAGTTCATTTTAGTCACGTTCTTTGACGATTTCAAGTTGAATTAAGGTTACTGAATAACGACAAAGGATCTTTATCTTGATTTTGATCGATTAATTTGTATGGCAGCTATAAGCTTTAGTGATCCGATGATTTGTTCGGAGATTGTATCGTTTCCTTGAACAGTACACTATGCCAAATTTTATGAAGATAACTTTTCAAATAAAAAAGTTTTCCATAACCTTGTTCAGGGTATAACAACTATTGATCTCAACCGACTTTTTTATATGCACATGTATTTTGAAACCAATAACTGTTGCAATGTTAGTCTGCTATGTCAAAACTTCATAGATTTATTTCGATGTATCTATATAATTTAAAATATAGATTAAATAGCTAACTTATTTTATGACCATTCCGAATTATCCGAATTTAATGTGAGAAAAAATATAATAAAATTTCATGATAAAAACGCAAAGAACTATATAAAAAATTCATAGATAATTTATGTTAATCAAAATTTGAATTATTTTATTTCTTATTATAAATGACTTTTCCTATTATGTTTAAATTTTTAAATATTTTTCTCTGATTGATTAATTGTTTTACTTGAAACTGGACGATTTCCTATATGGTAAAATGAGAACATAATTGAGCGAGTGATTTATTGAGTGAAAGTAATTTGAATTCCACTCATAATCCTCCAAGAGGTCATTGTCCAAGCGTGATAACCCTGTATTTTTCAACCCACATCAATATTTAGTAAAATCCCGCATTGCAGACGCCAGGGTTTGCTTATTCACATAAACACTTACACACGCACACACACACACTTAGATACTCGTGTGGAGGATAGACGCCGAGAGTTGTTTGCATTTGCAGTCACTTTGCTTTTAGTCATTTGTCTGTGCATATTCATCAGTGAATTTTTGTACCATCGCAACTAAAAATTTTGAGTCTGAAAACATAAACACACATTCTCTCACACACATGCACATGCTTTTCTATAGTCTATGTACACCCATGCATATATATATATTCTGGTATGTATGTATATGCAGTTTAAATTGAAGTGGCTTATTGTTGTTGGGGTTAAATTTTGGAGACATGCCAGTGTGGACCTGCACACACATGTGTACATATGTACATGTGCATATTTGCGTCTGGCTCTGATAATGAAGTTCATCATATTCATTCTGTATTTGACGTTTCTTGTTGTTATTGATATTTTTATGTTTGTCGAAGACTTTTCATTGGAAATAGTGTCGGCTTTAATTAATAAAAATTCAAGTGTTTATTTACTACTTAATTGTAAAAGCAATAAATAAACGAATTTTCAAATAAAAACAATTTTATTATCAATGGATGCATGTACATATATACAATACATATGTATGTATGTATAAGTATGTATAGCATTATGCGTATGTATGGTGTATGAAAAAAGTCGTTAACTAATACTACAAATTATAAATTAGCCTGAAAAAAATTTTCATTCAAGTCGTATGTGCTAAGAACCAATAATATTATTTGTAAGATTTGCCACGTATTTATATGTATGTAGAGCACGTGCAATATTGCTTATTAACATCTGAATTTGCAAACAATAAGTGAAATATTTATATATAATTTTAAAAATTGGAAAATAAAGGTTTCATACAAAAACTAATACAACGCCGAAGTTAGATCTAACTTAAGCAAGAATTGGATCGACACATAACATAAAAGAACACATCACAACAAAAGAACACTACTAGAAAAATTATCACTTTGTCTGCAATGAAGCTGTAACTCTGTTTACAGGTGCATTTCTTATAGCATAAAAGGGTATAACAAGACTGCTATATGCTATAGTAGTTTGATCTTAGCAATTTGCTCGAAGATTGTACCGTTGCCAGTATACCACTATATACCTTTTTTAGAATATAATTAACAGTAAACTTTAAAATCACCCCTAGTTCTAGAATACAATACAATAGGGTGGAGCGAAAAACAAAATTTTTTTTTTACTAAGCCTAAGGGTAAAATCTGTGGATTATAAAAAAAGAAAATTTTTGGACAAAAAAAAATTTTTTTTTAACATCTAAAGGCCCAATCAGTTTTAAAGTAAATTTCGAGTTAAACTTTTTTTTTGGACAAGAAAAAATTATTTTTGGTTTAAACTCCTTACATTTATATAAAAATTACCGAATGCGACGGTTTTTGACTCAAAATTTATTTTAATGCTTAAGGAAAGCATGTTGTCGTTTAAGACTTTTTTTTTATTGTAAATCCAATAATGACCACAAACTATTTTTTTTAATTGTTAATTTTTAATTGGCCAGAAAGAGGATTCTCCACAGCTTCTAGAACACTAATCAAACATTCTTTACGAAATACAAATTTTAACTCCAAAATTTACTTTAAAACTGAGTGGGCCGCCTCTAAATGTTAAAATTTTTTTTTCACCTACTATACAAGTACTAATTGGTCCCGAATCTTATGACTTTAGAGACAAAAGTAGATGAAAAGCACTACAATCCGGAGAGGGATATACATTACAATATAAGAAAACAACGTGAAAAACAAAAGGCAATATGCAAGAGTTACTATCCCTTAATAAAATTTTAAACAAGCTCAGCAGCCAGACTAAAGATGTTGAATTTGGCCATAGTGTTGTTCATTTTAAGCTTTCACTCAGTAAGACGTGTTTTGCTCTCCCGAAACCCCTATTTTTATTTAGATTATCGCATTCTTTTCTTTCCCTTTAATTTTTAGAGTTTTGCAATATATTACATCATATTTGATAAGGCAACAAGCAAGACGAATAACAGTATGCGAAAAATATGTATAAAATGGATTGACGTCACTTTCTTTTCTACGCCTATCTTTTGAAGGGTGCAACGACGTGCAATAAAATGCTGTTCTGATTGCTTAGTCTGATTTGACAAGTGTTTCTCTTGCATTAAAGATAATCATATCTGTGTTGAATACATCTTATCAATCACACATTTGCTATCTAACTGGTTTTAGCAAAGAGTTAGTCATGACCAAATCACACACCTACTATAAACCGACCTAATTATAATGAACTAAATAATTGAATAATCGTATAAAAACTAAAGAGTCGTATAGCACGGCGAAACTTTAAACATTTTTATTACAAATATTTAGTATATATAAAAAAAATATAAAATCGATTGAATGGTTGAATAAAATATTATTGATTAATGTGATTATTGTTTGTTTATTGATTTCATGCATATTGTGCATACGATAAAATAGGAAACGATGAAAGTACTCACGTTCTAGATTGATTGATTGTTGCCGTAAACGATGTGCTATACTCGTACTTAACTTCCGATTTCAGATGATAACGACGCTTCATTTTCTTTTTAGGAGTGTTTTGTTTCCGAATAGTATTTTTTCTTAAGATGAACTTTAAAATAAGTGTCCAAATAATTTGTATGAAATTGCCACCGAACCCTAGTGTGATCTTCAATTTCTGTTATTTTCGAAACAATATACAGTTATATGCGTAAAGACACGTATTGCTAGTAAAAAGTACTCACACCTCTGACAACTGAGTGTCGGAAATAGCTTTTATATCCAATCCTGATAATACACTCGATTTTTATTTTACACACAATTCGCAAATGTAGGGACTGGCTGCCGAATTTAGGGTTGAGCGCTTTTGTGTAATATATGCGCTGCCTTGGAAACATTTTGCGCTTATACATATTGACTTTTTGTTATCACCGTTTCTCGTGTTGTGATATTAATTGTTGGGAAGTTCATTAAAAACTCAGTGAAATTTTTTGAATTCGACAAATAAGTAGTATAAAGATAATTATTTTTGCATTTAGAGCAATTGAAATGATCAAGGCTTGTCCTGTCTTCTCAAGCAATCGGCTGGAAATAACCGCAGAAGACGGATTAATAGTATAGCTATAAAGGACTGTTCTTACAGTTTTAGACCCTTAGAGTTATTAAGGAAAAACGTATGTTAGAAATTATTTTTTTGGTGTTGTAGCATACAATTTTCTTCTATACTTTTGAGGATAATGAATATAATAATATGAACCATCCTTTATTGATCTAAATTACACTACTCGAAAAGGTATATTGGAATTATACATGATTACATATGTAAATATATAAATATTTAAATATCGAGCAGTTCAAACTTATAAATTTGGTTTAAATTTGCCGTATGCTTATGCATTTTTATTGATTTTCATGAACTCATATATTCCTTAGAGGTTAAGGAATTAAGTGATAAATATATACATAAATCATGTTTATTGTTGTCGTAGGGGCAGCAAAAATTATCTAAGTAATTTCGAAAAATTGTGACAGTCGCTTACATAAACATTGAACTGTACCGGTTACGTAGACTCGACTGTCGCCGGAAAGAGCATGCTTCATTTCCACTACGTTTCCTCCTCGATTCCAATAATATCAAAAGATCCAGCATATATTTTAGCTTATCCCTGTACTTACACTTTCAACATTTTTAACTGTACTTTTGTAATTTTTTTTGGGGTTATTTTAAATAATAGTAGTGTATGTAGCTAAAAAATTTTAATTGTTACAATTTTGTGAAAGATCACCGATTACTCTTGTGTTTAAAATCGCGCCTAAAAGTAGACTAGGCGAATTGTATTGTTGGCAATGCTACAAATTTAACAAAAGCTCCCGCTGAATTGAAATTATTTTGGATACTACTACACACAAAGCGATTAAATAATTTTGAAAAAAAATGTCATTGCTTCTTTCCCAATTCACATTCCATATGTACACCTCGCAGGCCTCCAGTCCATGCAATGATCTTCTGATAATGATCGATATTGATTTTCGTGATAATGTTTGCATTCGCCTTCTCTCGACGCAAGTGATCGATAACCATTTGGCCACGTGTGTGAATGCCAGCTAACTCAACAGCAGCATGATGAAGCTGATGCTCCAACACCACTAAGTGAGGGAATAGATAAACGGCGACGGCCAGCGCATCGCAAACTAGCCAACGTTTCACACCTCTCGGCACCAACAAGGCGCGCTCCACGCGATTCAATAGCTGGACGAATGGACTCTCTACAGCGCCAAGAGTATTCAAGCGCCAATCCTGTGGGAGGCAGATAAAAGCGAAAAGCAAAATGTGATAGAACAAGTAAGGAGGAGCGAAGTTCGGGTGTAACCGAACATTTCATACTCTTGCAACTTGCAAGGATCAAAGCAGAGAAATTTATTCTGATAACTTTATTGTTGTTTGGTTTGTATACTGTAAAAAATTTAAAAGTTTTTTTATATGGGAATTAGGCGTGGTTGTCATCCGCCCCTTTTTGCAGTGTCTAATGGATTGTTTGGGTAGCCTCACGCACCAAAATTGGTTGAAATCGGTCGAGTAGTTCCTGACATATAGGATTTCACTTAAAGATGGGCGGTGCCAAGCCCCTTGTCCAATTTTTACGGCAGATTCTATAAATCCCTTCTTTATCCTTCTGGTTGTGAAATTTATGGCTTGTGGTACATTTATTCAGTGAATTGTCGAACTTTTAGTAGTTTTCAACATAACCGTTATATGGGGAGTGGGCGTGATTGTTTTTCGATTTTACCCATTTTTACAGAGTTTTAAGAGGTAACAAAAGTTAACAAGTTTGGTTGATATATCTTAAGCGGTTTGTAAGATGTGTACATTAAACCATTAAGAGGACGGGGCCACATCCACTTTTGAAAGTGTTTTAGCCCACTGGTGTTTCTGGCTACTGCGATATCGTGTACCAAATTACAGTTTTCTATTTTAATTTGCGGCTTAGTTATGGCACTTTAAAAGTTTTCGTTTAATGGCATTTTGTGGGCGTGGCATTAATCCGATTCCACCCATTTGCAACATCAACTTTCGGATGGGTGCCATATGTGTACCAAGCCTTATCAAGACATCTCGAGTTTTACTCAAGTTATCGCTTGCACGGACAGACAGTCACCCGGATTACAACTCGTCTCACCATCGTGATCATTTATATATATAACTATAACTGTTAGTTGAGCAAAACTATTATACTCTGTAGCAACATGCAAGAGTGTAAAAACTGTAAATTATATATTAGGTGAGCACATACAAGTGTAATGCGAAAAGCCTGATCGTCACACGTTTCCCAAGGCAATATATTAACGGCCGTTTCAATGTTCTCGAAAACTATTTGCGCAGCTTCCGGATCCATCATAAAATTAAACTCGGCGCTTTTAGTAGTGTTGCCTTTGCCTGCATTATAAATAGGTTTTATATATGTAAATATTAAATAATATACATATTAAATGTAGAGTATTACCTCTATAATTGCCGCCCATAATGTAGATTTCACCAACCTTATCCAAGAGTTTTGAGCCATACATACTTATGCACATGGCAAAATTAGTTAGCGGCCCCACTAACAAAAAGTCCACCTGTTTAGGATACTGGAATATATAGTGAAAACATATAACTGAAACGTTTTCACTATTTTGCGCAATTCGTCACAAATTTACCTTGCAAACGAACTCATACATCGCATTGATTGCGTGCTCTGGTCGCACTAAACTCAGATCAACCGGCTTCTCATGGTCAAGATCACCAAAACCATCCTTTCCCACGAAATACTTGGGATTTTCCCAGGGCCTTGGTTTAAGCAAATTACTGCAACCTTTGTAAACTGGTATCTAAGCATTGACAAATAGTTTATATATAAATTGCTCCGGCCCAAAGTAACATTTTTGCTCTTACATCATTTCTATTGACTACGTCCAGCACTCTAAGCGTGTTTACCACGGCATGGTCGACCGTGGTGTTGCCCTGTACACATGTAACGCCGATAATTTCAAACTTCTTTGGTGAATCCTTTAGCTCTTGACGCCTTTTATATGTCTCCTCTGCTTTGATGAGCATCATCAGACCCCATGCATCGTCGTTACCCACATCGCAATCATATACTAAGTATCGTCCCATATTTGTTGGTACTTTGTACTGTTTTACTTTTGTTAAATACTATATATTTTCTATTTAGAATTCCGAAAACGTCTGTATTTTGCTGTAATCAGTTTATTACTAAATGTCTAGTTCCCAGCTAAGAATTTGTTTAAATCTAACTAAACTACAAATCTAAATAATACTCGTACGTCATGCATATACAATTATTCGCATTTTCAAATACATATAGGTATATACCTTAACTGATCTCTTATCTACATTTACATAGCGACAGAACCTCGTGCGTTTGTATTTGTTGCTTCGCACGATTTTGATGTACTTCAAGTACCTTTGGGATTCTTTTTTGTAATGGAAATGCGAAATGGATTATAGGTATATAAATATTTTATGTTTGTAAAAATAATTGTTGCAATATACTACACTTAGCCAATTCACGAAATATGCAATACAATGAATAGAAAACGACTATCTTCTTAATTTGGAGAATGCAATCTGATTCTATGCCACAAGTTTGAGTTGTACAAGCCTTTTGGTTGGCTTGCTTGCAGGAAATGTAAGATGTTAAAGATTCATAAATGGTTTTATTGCTACGAGTAATAACCAATTACACTCCAGGAAAAAATAAATATATTCAAGAAGAATATCAAGTATCAAATATTAATAGTTTAAATCTTCAAAAATATCATACTAAAATTTTAATTCGATTTCTCAAATAGTTTTTGAGTTACAACCTTATAAAATATAGCCGCTCGGTTCTATCAAAAATCGAATTTTGGCTTGTCAGAAGCGAAAAAAATTTTGGGAAATTTCAATTTATTTTAAACCCCGTCATTTTGTCTATTTCACGGTCTCCTTGTAGAAATTTTTTGGTAAGCTTTCATCCACGGAGAACTCCAGAATCACTACAGCAGTAAAGAACCTTTTATTAACGCTGTCATAGACCACGTGAAACTATTTTCTTCCAAAATTTTAAAACAATTGATGCAGTAGTTTTTTATTTAATTCTCAAACCCACATTAGGTGTGCTTCTTAAATAAGCTTTTCATTAAGGGTAGACTATTATTTTAGATATAAAGTTAAAATTAAAAAAATTGTTAATTAGTTTTCATAAAAATATTTCTCAACCAATCAACTGCATTACAGTCTTGACGCTTTGTTGAGCATTTTTTCAAAATGTTAATCGAAAACGCTTGTTTTATTGATAGCAATCAATTTTAGATCTTTTTCAATTTTGTTTTATGGCATTAAAACTAAAGCTTCCTTGATGATAGTAAAGCATATATTTATTAATAAAGCAACTTGTCAAACAACCTAATAAGTACACAACCAATGCAAGTATTTATTTATATTCAATTTATATTACGAAGCTCTACCTAGCTCCGACTCTATATCAACATCTTCCAGCCCCGCGGTCCATGCAATAATATTTTTATAATGATCACCGTTGACTTCCATAATAATGATCGCATTATCCTTTTGCTGTTTTAAGTGATCGATAACCATTTGGCCACGTGTATGAGTACCAGTGAGTTCAACGGTGGCATGATAGAGTTGACTCTGTTTTATCGTTAAATGTGGGAAAAGGTAGGCTGCGACGGCTACAGCATCACAAACCAGCCAACGTTCAATACCTTTGGGTATAAAAACAGCACGTTCCACAAGATTCAGCAATTCGATGAAAGGACTCTGAATGGAACCGAGCACATTCAAGCGCCAGTCCTATGAGGAACAATTTTTATACATATGATACATGTTTATATATTTTGATAGTAAAGATGATATGTATTCACATACAAGTGTTATATTAAATTCGCCGTCGATGCAGGTTTCCCAAGGAACTATAGTTAGTGGGCTATCTATACAAGCTAAAACAATATGTGCAGCCTCTGGATCCATCATGAAATTGAACTCGGCACTTTTGGTGGCGTTGCCTTTACCTATATATTATATTTAATATACTTCATTAATTACAAGTATATAGTGCACAAATCTAGTCAGCGATTTATAATTATGATCTTAAAATTTTTTTATAGACTTTATATACCTCTATGATTGCCGCCCATAACAAAAATTTTACCAACTTTATCTAAGAAGTCTGAACCATACATATTGATGCACATCGCAAAGTTGGTAAGTGGACCCATCAACAAGAAGTCAACCATTTTCGGGTGCTACAATGAAAGGATATTATTCAAATAAACTTACAAATACTTTAATATAGATCGAAAAACACCTTACAAACAAAATCATACATCGCATTCACCGCATGCTCCGGACGCACCAGATCCAAATTGACTTGCGTTTCATGCTGCACCTCACCGAACCCATCCTTTCCATGAAAGTTTTCCGGGTTCTCCCAATGCTTTTTAATGATTGGTGTACTGCAGCCTTTATATACGGGTAACTGATAGTATTTACAGTTATTTTGAGTTGTTGTATAACCTTATTTTCGAAATATTCATACTTACATCGTTTCTATTGGCTGCCCTTAGCACTCTGAGTGTGTTTATAACCACTTGGTCGACATTGGAGTTTCCCTGTACGCATGTAACTCCGATGATTTGAAACTTTGCTGGGGAATCCGCCAGATCGACACGTCTTTTAAAAGCTTCTTCAGCTCTGATGAGCATCATCAGACCCCACGCGTCGTCGTTACCGACATCACAATCGAACACTACATATCGGCCCATTTCGTTAGCGATTGCTGGTGAAGAGATTTTTATTCGAATTAAGCCCGTAAAATCAGGTTAAACATATTTTACATACTTAATTAAGTTAAAAGGAAAATATATAGTCGTACGTGTTAACAAAATACATAATACAATGTTTTATATAATTTCTTCTCAAACCCCTTATGGGTAAACAAGATATATTATTCTTATCAGTGATATATACTTGTTTATTCTTATCAGTCAGTAATAACTTATTTTGAAGGTTTTAAGCAATTATGTATTTCAATATCAAGGTTACAATGTTACTTGTAAATAAAAAAACTGTATGCTCATAGCCAGCTGCCATTTGAATAGAACTTCTCATTATAACAAACATTTGACACAAATCAAACATTTTAGCCATTATCACGTCCAGTTATATTTTGCATTTAAAGTTTTATTTATTAATAATACTGATTTTAAAAACAATAAAACATATTTTTTTAGCGTTTATAGAAACAATATTTTTTTGCAACTCGCAAAGTGTGCCCCAACAACATAGTAGGCCACAATTTTTAAGAAAATATAAATTTTCTTCCGGTTTTGCCTACTTTCTAATTATATTATTAAGATTATTGCCAAAATAATGTTCAAATAAACAAATACACTCAACTCGTTTATTTGCGATTTACAGCGCTTTAGAAACGAAACAATTCCCTTAAATGCCAAACACGAACTACCCGCATATATTTAAAGGCTGTACCACATAACATTGGTGCCTTTTATTATTATTTATTACAGAGCAGTGGGCGAATAAAAGCAAATCATATAGTACTGTACTTGGAGCGCATGCTGATTTGCTCTCCGCAAGCAAAATGATCATTTTTATTATTCGCTCAAGGGAGCAATGATCGTGGTTTAGAAAATGTGTGTACATTGCTTATGAAGACCAATTGTACTTCATATCTAATGTTCATACAAATGTGTATATATGTATATATATCCCTGTTGGAAATTGCTGCGTTACTTGCTAAATCTATCTTGTTTACTGACTTTGTAAACAATGATTTCGAAAACTGTTTCGAGGATTTTCTTAATGCTAATACAAATATCTGGGAAAAATGTCTCAAGCGGGGCATTCAAGAAAGAGAGGTATGAATAAAAGCTATATTTAATCATAAAATTTTTTTCACTTTAAAATCACTTTTAGTCATTGTTTCAATTTCCTTTTATAGAAATTATATGTTCGTTTAAGGACAACGGAGACCTCAAATTCTTTTCTTATGACAACAATATTAGCCGTTTTCAATTCGCCACGAATTTCGAAATTCTTTCAAATTAATGTATGTGAGCTGATATATTTTAAAGCGATTGACTTATGATATATTCACATTTATGTGCTTCTTATAAACGGTATACCACGAATTGATGATACGGACTTTAAAAATTCCAGAAATGTTTATTATGATAAAATGATAATGTAGATTTTACGCCTGTTATTGCACATGTCGCTCAGCTTACTATTAGTACAATTTCTTTATTATATCTGCACATCGTTGAGAGATTTTGGTACAGCTTTGGTACAAATTTAAAAGTTAAGAGTCTTTTTCAAACTCATTGGTCTGCGACGGGTTTGCAGTGAAAATTACAGCATTTAGAAACAGCAATCCTAGGAACCGTTTGGAATGTAAATTTAGATCGTTTCAATGCTGCTAGTATGAAGCTTCAAGAATCTCAAGCTGATTTATCTATTTCTTCAAGACATGAGAGATAGACAATTTTCTGAATACGAAGAAATAACCAAAGCACTATCTGTAGGACACGATTATTAGCGTTATGATACTCATAGCAAAAAAACAGAAAAATTCAGCCAAGTGAGTCAAGGGTAAATGAATGAAAATTTTTTCGGGACAAAAAAGTTTTCGCACAAATGTTTATTACCCTATTCCAGATAGTTTAAGCGTACAATTGAAGAGCTTTACGAAAATTTCAATTTTTTTGATAATTTATCTGAAATATATACAAACGAATTGAAAAATCTTGCCAATAAACTAGTCAGTAACTATCCTGCCGATTTTGAAGAAATATTAGGCAATGAATGTAATCATTTAAATTGTAAACTCAAAGATTCCTTAGCAAATATGGAAGGTGTACGCTCGGCACAATAAATATGCAATGTAGATGTTATCCAAATGTAAACATTGCTCTCCGTATTTTTATGAGTATTCCGGCGACAAATTGTTCAGGACAAAGATCTTTTTCCACTTTAAACAGGTTAAAAACCTACTTGTATCTGCGTGCGAGCATGGGCCAAGATAGACTCAATGCTCTGTCATTACTATCTATTGAAGCTCAATTAGACCAAGAAATTAATTATGACGATATTATCGACGTTTTTGCGCGGACCAAAGCCAGGAAAAAGAAATTTACAAATTGACTAATTAAAAGAATATTTAGTATTAAACTGTTTAAAGTTTATAACTTATTTATCTGTCATGTCTATTAGTTTTATTTAAAAAATTATATTTCGATAAATAAAGTTATTTTAACATAAAAATATTGGACAATGAAATTCATTTAAATAAAATGGTAGGTGCATCGAATGGGGCCTAAGGCGGCAGCAAGCCTAAATCCGTCACTGGGTTCTACAGCAATTTTTATTCAGGTGGCAAGCCCCTAATTAAACCCTAAACAGTGCATATATTATATTATTAAGTTTGCCACGCTATTTGTAACACCCAAAAGAAAACATGTGTTGGAGATTATTTTGAATTATTTAGGGTTAACGATGTAAGCGTTTATGGTTCGGGAAGCAGTTTCTTGGCTCTTTATTTGATAATTTTGATTAATAGAGACAATGATATGTAAAACTGTTAAAAATGCATGTCTACCATACTGTAAGAACATCTTTGCAGGGAGCAAAAAAAAATATTTCTAGAGCCTAAATATGATTTTTTCGTTTTTGGAAAACCTCAAAATAAAAAATAGTGCATTTTCAACCTGAATTCAGTTTATCGAGGTGAATCAAAGGAACGCATACCCATAGAAGTATTTTACGATCTTTTTTTACAAAACGACGACTTTTTGTCCACCCTGTATGCTGGATTTCGCGCACTTTATCCTTGCCAACATTTTTGTAGAAAACTAAGATCACCGTTAGTATTTTTACAGATAATCCTTTCACAAATCAGAGTAAATCGTTATAGCTGGTTATTACGCCAAGCATATATATACATATGTACTTATGAATTGTAAGAGCAAGTAAGAGTGCAGTCAAAGTGCAGAGAACACTGCAAATCGCAGAGAAAGAGAGAGAAGTTGACAATTGTTTTGCCGGCTTTCTGGCAAATTCACCAAGCATTTGTGTGCAGGTGCGTGAAAATTGTCAATACGCTGAGGTGGGCGTACACATACACACTTTCAAATTTTATATCTTGCTACTAGCAAATATAGATAAACAAAGTTCGTTTGTTAAATTTATACAATACAATAACTAGTGTTCGTTCATATGTGATCACTGTCAGTTGATAAATTGCCTTAAGAGAGTTGAAATACAAAAGTACACAATCATATTAACTAGTAAATGCTTATTATAAACCGCAATTGCTCACGCTGCTTAACAGTTTTGTGTTTTATTGTTGGAATTTAGTATGCTGGAAGAGTGGCTAGTGAGCAGTTGGCAAGAATCGGTCAACAGATGCGCAAATTTATTCACATACATATGTATATATAAAAGATATATATTTACAAAGAAATTGTGTGCTCGCTATGAATAATGCATTAATAAAAGAATTTCGTTTGTACTCGAAATAAGAATAGAAACAATTTGTGTTAGAATATACATGCTCATGAGATCTATGGCAACACTGCGATAACAATAGCGTATTATAATATAGGCAAGTGTGGCGCGATAAGAATACTTACTGAAAACGCATGAAACTATAAACATTTTTGTATAATTAAAAGTTAGTTTGGCTGTGATAATATCATAAAAACACGACGCTGATGTCGGCACAAAAACGCTTCGTTATTTTGGATTGCGATGGCGGCAGCGATGATGCCTGGGCCTTGCTTCTACTGCTGAAGGCTGCAGCCGAACAACAGGTCACGCTATTGGGGGTGACTATATGTGGCTGTGGAAATACTGATCTGCGTAATGCGGCGCGCAACATGTACCGCATATTGAAGGCCTGCAATCGGACTGAGGTAATATTTGGCGCCAATTCGCAATGAGTAGGTAGTTGACCGCCATTGATTGACATTTGTTGTGAAATTTGTGGTGTTTTTGAGCCAAAATAGAATTTTATTTGCAAAATAATAATTAAATTGTGTGATTAATTTTCAAAACTCACCTACTTTAGATACCCATTTATTATGGGGCTTCCACGTCGTTAATACCACCCATTGTACCGCTCGATGATAACAAGTATTTTCATGGCCGCGACGGTTTCGGCGACATATTGCCCCTAGAGATAGACTACAAATTGGACGAGGTGGTGCAAAAAGAACATGCTGTGGTGGCAATAAATAGAATTTGCACTGAGGTAGAATAATTTCATATACATTTTCAATAGACGTGAATACTTCTTACAATAACAGTGATATTTTCATAATATTTATTTAATTATTTAGCATCCAAAAAAGGTAACCATTATAGGAGTGGGGCCATTAACGAATATTGCGCTTTGCTACTCTATGTTCGGTGATGTGTTCGCGAATGCAGTTAGGGACATTTATCTAATGGGCGGCAATCATCAAGGTGAGTATACATATATAAAAATTATGAGTATGTATGTAAAAGAATGTGTACAGCATCTAAGCCTATATGTTTATACATACTCGTACACATATTTATTATATACATATATATAACACTGAATATTTGTTTGTTTGTACGTGCATTAGTCTCATCATGCTTAACGGTTTATATTTGGTTTACTGCCGTGTTCAAAGGTTTCGGAATATAAATAGAAAATGTGAATAACGTTACCAGATAGCCCAAAAAATATATATACATATATTTAAATAATTATACATGTAACACAATTTCCCGGAAATTGCTTAATTTTTCAGGGCTTTTAACATTCGTAAAAATTTAAAAAGGTATTTAGGTAAAATATTGGTGTTATGTCTTATCTAAAAGCGTACTTCCTTACGTAAACAAAAACATATATTATATTTGTTATATTTTCATTTATCTAAATAAAATATTCAAAATCCAACCCAAAATTCCCTGTCCCATCAACAGGTGTTGGCAACTGCACTCGCTGTGCCGAATTCAATTTCTATGCAGATCCCGAAGCTGCGCATGCCGTACTCGCTAGAACCAAGTGTCCCATTACCATACTACCCTGGGAACCCTGTTTGGAAGACCGATTTTTTATATGCATTGTAAGTGAGCTAAAGCATTTATTTTGACTCAAATTGAAATTATTAATATTTACTATAATATTTTCTGTCATATATGGTAGAATTGGCGCTTGGATGAGCTCGGCGCACTGGCCGCTAACACTTGTTCAGCCATCGACATTATGAACAAAGTAGAGCGCGCTCAATGGCTGCCGTCGAATTACAAAAGCTGGATACCATGTGATGCACTGATTGTGGCTGCTCTTCTCTTTGAAAGCGTTCTCGTGCAGAAGAAAAGCAGTTGGCATGCGACTGTGGATTTAACGGGACACACACGTGGTCAAATGATTTTGGATCATTTACAAGAGGTGGATAAGTTTCCTAAAAATGTAGACGTTATTGAATTGTTGGATGCAGACGTGTTCAAAAAAATTGCCCGATGGGCTGTGGGCTTGTACGATGAGTTCGTAGTCGAGCATACCAATGGGAATCTCGTATAATAAGATTTCTGAATCTTGAATCAATGCTATGAGAAGACATAGTATTTCTACATAATGTATAAGCAATCGAAGGCATCTCTGTAATAAATATGTATTACTTTAATAATTCTCGAAATTAGCGTTTAATGTTATAACATTTTTTTGAATTTGCTTAATGTTTGTTGTTGCAAACCTAGAATTCTTTTTCTGTTTTATAGCTTAAACAGTCACCGACATTCCTCCCTTCCGTACTTACCGCCCGAATCAAACCAAATTTGTCAAAAGTTATGCCCGTAGTTGAAACGCAGAAATCAGTTGTTCTCTTCTGTTTTCATTTCACCAATGTTACCATTGTTCTATTTGTAAACACGATTTTGTACACATTTAGTTTTTTGGTTATAATTTTTATATTGTAAGCTTTAGCTCAAAACTGAAATCCAACAATTAAAAATAGTTTACCTATTTATAAATAAATGTATTCGACTGTGATTTTGAGTTAGTTTAAGAATATTTCAAATATATTTATGTTAATTGTTTAATTTACAAATTATCGATACTGGCAGCCCTGCATTGCAAGAGAGCAATCAGCTCACTCGCTTCTACGGGAAAAATCCAATTTTCGCGGATATCCTACCGTACGGTCTGTTGAAGCGGACGGTAGAAGCGGTGGTGATTGTTCATTTACATTGCGCTCTCATAAAATAGGTCGTATCAGCTGATTCGGTCCACGGTTTTGCGTCGGTGACTGTTTGAATTATTACCCGAACGATTGCTAAATTTCAGCAACTAATTTCCGTTCCCAAGACAATTGGGTTCAAGTAAGCAGAACGTGCTCGTATCAAATCGTCATTTCCTAAACTAATTAACGAATATTTTATTTTGCTGCAACTTAATCCAATTTCACAAAGGCAGCCAATGCAATTTATTTCGAGTGTTTTGCAACTATTTATAGAGATATTTTTCCAATTAATCATTTTACATTGGCAATGACTGTTTTTATACCACACAGTCCCCTAAGTTTTGTCAAAAATCCGTTTGACTGCTTCAAAGCACACAAAATGATAAAAAGTGAACAAATCAAACTTGATGAATGTCACACTGAAAGAAAATTAAACAAAAACAGTACACCGAGATAAAATAAAAACCATCAAAGCACAACGAATGCGAATGCGCGTACACAAAGCACACCCCGAACATGGGTTAACCCACCACCTTCACCGCCCCCTGCACCCATATACGCTAGTAATTACCAACAAAAACGATGAAACAACAAAACAACGAAATAGCAACGCCAATAACAATAGAAACAGTAGCTACTCGTAAACGAGCGAGCAGATATTCGTAATTGTGACGTTGAGCGCATCAATGCACAGTGTGTCCGGGCTGTTCGAATTTATAAATAAAATATAAATCAATTTAGATATGTTTTAGTAGGAATAAACTGTATGTTAGACTGAATAAAATTTTCTCATATATAATACGTAGTTCCGACCTTCTTCCAGGATGAAACCTAAAAAAATATTCTCATCAGAAATTATTGTCTGTATATGACCTACCATTGATTTAAAATTTAAGTATGTTATAGTATACATATAGTATAACCTATCATTTTTACGGTGCCTACGGAAAAATTGTGCCGTAGACAGTTTTTGGACTCACTTTTATTATTTTTGAGTGCAAAATAATAAAGGCTGTGATTTGAATTGATTTAAGATTCACTTTCGTGAATTCATAAGCAAACAATAGTGTAGCCTTCTAAAACTAAGAATAATTAAGAAGTATATTAAGATATTTTTTATTGAAATATTTCGAACCATATTACACTATTTTGCTCCACTGTGCAACAAATACATATATCACAAATACGAAACTACGTTCAACATCATTATCATCATCGTCTACACCAACAACAAACGCAACCATACCAACAGCCAGGTACATACATACATACATAGTTGGGCGAACCATCAGTGGCGGTTGCGGCCCAGCTCCGGAGCAGAGGCAGCAGTTCAGCAGTTAGCTAGCCTGACAGCAGTAGTCAGAACGAATCGAGAGGAGCAAGCGTTTGGACGTAGTCGGTATTGGCAATCGACAATCGGCATCGACATCGGCAAACGGTCGTCTGCGTCGCTGCGTCGCGTATGCCATTTGTGCTGCTGCTCTTTCAAATAGTCGCGGGCCTAACACTTATTCTATTTGTTATTCATTATATTTATTATATAATTAATGCAATTGCCGGCGATTTACAATTACAACAACAGCTACAGCAACAGCAGCAACAAATATTGCAGTTGCAACAAAACGTGTATTTACAACAATTGCAACAACCAAGTGTAAAAAATTATCGACAACAACGCATCCCAGTAGCGTCGTCTGCAACATATAGAAAATCGCATTGTTTTACAGCAACAGCAACAGCAACAACAACAACTGGCGAAAAAATGCAAACAAGCGACGACGCAAAGTTTATAAAAAAGTGAGTGAACACAGATGAGGAAAACCAAACAAATAACAAAAAACAACAATAACAAATTAATGCAAAATACAAAATGAAATAATAATCATAACAGAAATTAGTAAGAAAAATTGTATTTACATAAAAGGTGTTGTTGTAGTGTTGCAAGCAAAATAGCCAAGCTTAGTGAAAGATGAGCTGTTCAATTGTAAGCGTTAAACAATTCACCGTTTCGGGGGGCAACAGCTCAACACGCCCCAAATGCAAATGCTAACGCTTGTCTACAGCTTAAAAGCTGAAAAGTTTGTTATTTTAATTGAGCTGTAATGTGCGATAAGCAAAAGTATGACTAACTGTAAAAAAATCTTAAATAAATTTTCGCGGAAAAAAGCTGCAAAAGTGCACCTTTTTCCCAGCGCCTGATTGCGGCTGAAAAGTGTGTGTCAGCATTATCGATTTTCCATTTCCACCGCGTTTTCCGACTGCGCACCGACCGACACGCGAAAATCTTGTACACATAAATACTTTCGAATATACGTGTATGTATGTGTACAGTGCGACCACGTTCTGCTGTGTCGTCCGCACAGGCGTCTCTTCGGCCCACTCACGTGCTGACGCAGTTTTCCCTTACTCATTGCCTTTAAATGCGGTTGAAGCTCGGTGGTTGCGTCAAATAAGGGATTTTCGTCTTAACCATTACGAATTAAATCATTTCTGCTTGCATTTAGGAAGGAGAAATTGATAAAATTTTCTTATACAAATTTCATTAAAATATAAAAATCTTTATAATATTCATTATAGCAGAACAAATTATTTCTAAACTCTAAACAGAAACTCATCATAATGAAAATCTATGTATGAACCCAGAAATATGCGAAACACATTTTTTATATAGATCAACAACATGGAAACGTTTTGGCACTAAAAGAAATTAATTTATTTAGATGGCAAAAACATTTGCTCCAAGCCGCAAAAAATAAGCACATAAATCATTTATACAAATATACATATTTTAGTAAGTGTGTATATTAGGGCCATCCTTTTCAAATTTGCATATTTGCTATCTGTAAAAAGCAATCATTAAATGTTTCTTATTATTTCTTAAAATATTATATATGTTATTAAGTTAGTACAAGTATGTCGAGACTTCTTCCAATCCAATCTTAAAGCTCTTTTCGGTCGGAAGTTGTGGCCTTTCATGGGATTCTGCAGTGTAGAAAATATTTAATCAAAGTTGATGTGCTGTTTTCGTTCGTGGCTCTCATAATCTTCTCATACTGGGATGGCTAGGTTTTGGTTGCAAAATCATTTATAAGTGAAAACCTGGGCTCTAATACAAAAATACCAATGCACATGGTTCTTGGATTTATTTTACAGATTTCAGAATCTATTTTCTAACTAAGTGTGAACTAGACGTTTGTATGTAATATACCTGCGGCTGAAAGAAATTAGTACATCCCTAATGTTAATGTATATATATGCGTGCAGAAGTATTTTTTGTTCGTGATTTCAATTTTAAATTTCATATTTTGAAAAACGGAGATAACATTTTGCAAAATTGTTAAACACCTACATATGTATTGCGTATGTTTTGTGCGAATTGCCCTGCGCCGGAAATGTCAAGATTTTTAATTGAAACTGATGAATTTAAGAAATATTACTCGGTAGAGAAAGGGATGCTATGATTTTTAGTTTGTACGCATATATTATTGTAAAATACATATCTAAAAATATATTTAAATATATATATGTGACGAAACAAATATTAAGTGTTAGTACATATATTTGCGAGTATATAGTGCGCAGTCTTTGATTATATATATGTATGTATATATGGAAATTAAATAAAAACTGACAAGAAGAACCAAGTGAAATACCTTTTGATTAAACACAAATTTTATACAAAAAAATAATAAATGAATAAATCGAATATAATTACATAAATTCTATATATAAAATTAGCGGTAATTTCAGAAAAGCAAAAACCGGTTTTAAATGAAAAAAAGCGGAAATAAAAAAATGTATGAAAACATTTAAAAATTAAAGTGTATAACTTCCTACACATTACACCTACAATTTTATACTCAATTAAATACATACTATATTTTACTCACTTGATAAAAAGCTAATAATTAATTCTTCATGATATCTTCGCGAATTTTATACCGTGATAAATTTCATAATTTTTCCTTTTATTATTTGCGTGTAATATAATTTTTCCATTGCTTTATGAAGATAGTATTCTAATTATTTTATGAAAGCAAAACAAGCGAATAATAACAATTTATATTATTAAACGATTATTATCGCGCAGACGATGGAAAGGCGGTACAATCGAACCACATCCAATGGATAAGGCATTAATTGTCAACTATCAGCTAGAAGCGACGGTCTTCGGCGAGCAATCCAGCAATCCGATGATTGAGGAAAAAAAGGTGAGTCAAAATTTAAGTTCGTCAAAGAAACACACACAACTATATATTCCATAAAATTTTAAAGTAAGCGCAAATCAATAACAAACGCTTATCGTTTGTTCGATTTTATTGCAGCGGTTTTTGCTCTCATTTTATATTTAGTTCGTTACTATACTTATGACGGTCATAGAAATCATTATAGAAATGCTAAGATTTCCTGCGGCGGTACCTATCAGTATACTGAGTTTATGTCTAAGAGTAGTACAT